ACTTATTTATTTTCCAGATTTTATTGTTGTTGTTTTTATGGCATTTTTTGTTTTTATTTTTATTTTTCTTTTTGTGTTTAATGACTAAAAGCAACAATAACAATAACAACATTTTACTGCTGCTTAACAGAGTTTGAAAATTAAAGAATTTAATAGAAATTTAATTAGGGTCACAGCTGTAAAACCCCCGAAAATTTAAGCCCAAAGAAAAGGGTCTTTAAAAAAAACACTCCCAAATTTATTTTCAATAAAAATAAAAATCCCTTAAGAAAATTGAATTTTAATAGTTTTCAAACATAAAAATTACGGAAAAGCTGTAAAAAAACTAATTTCAAACAATAAATTAAAAATAAAAACTTAAATTTATTAAAAAAAAAAATAAATTTTTAACTTTGCTACTGCACACTTTAATTAACCATTTTCAGACTACAGAAATTCTACAGTAAACACTTTAAATCTTATTTTTCTTTACTCCCCCCTCCCCTTTTCATATTGTAAATACCACCTAGAATCAGGATAATTTAAAATTATAAAGTCTAGATCAGAATTGTATGTAAAAAACATAACAACAACTTGCAGCCAGCCACAAAAAAATATGAGAAGTTTACAAACAGTTCAATAACGTCATCTTAACTGGGAAAAAAGGTCTAAGATCTACTTTTTAAAGAAACTAAAAATTCTAGGAAATATATCGAGACTTCAAGACAAACCTACTAAAAAAAACCTACATATATATAAGGGTCTTGAAGACCTTTATTAAAACTACATTTAAGCTTTTTGCAAGCCAGACTACGCTACATTATAAATATGTATATGTTTAAATATTTTGTATATAAATATATAAACAAACCTATTTACTATACATATTGCTGTCTACATACATATTTATGTACATAAGTATGTCTATATACAATTTGTATACAAAATTGAAGTGGTTTTAAGCATGCATTTTGCATTCAGTAGTATAAATCCTTAAGGATAATAGATGCCATAACATATACATACATACACATGTATATATATTAACATCCAAACATACATATATATATATTTGTGCACATGAGTGTACTTACTAATTTATGTTTATATGTATTTAATGCAAATGTTATACCTAGAAACAAATTAATAGGGGAGATCCCAGATATCAACATTTAACTAGGATTACATGGGAACAAATTTGAATAGATCAAAACTAGAACAGAACTAGAACAGAACTGAACTGAACTAGAACTGAACTAGAACAGAACTAGAACAGAACTAGAACAGAACTAGAACAGAACTAGAACAGACTAGAACAGAGCTAGAACAGGACTAGAACAGAACTAGAACTGAACTAGAACAGAACTAGAACAGAACTAGAACAGAACTAGAACAGAACTCTAACAGAACTAGAACAGAACTAGAACAGAACTAGAACAGAACTAGAACAAACTAGACAGAACTAGAAACAGAACTAGAACAGAACTAGAACAGAACTAGAACAGAACTAGAACAGAAACTAGAACAGAACTAGAACAGAACTAGAACAGAACTAGAAACAGAACTAGAACAGAACTAGAACAGAACTAGAACAGAACTAGAACAGAACTAGAACAGAACTAGAACAGAACTTAAACAGAACTAGAACAGAACTAGAACAGAACTAGAACAGAACTAGAACAGAACTAGAACAGAACTAGAACAGAACTAGAACAGAACTAGAACAGAACTAGAACAGAACTAGAACAGAACTAGAACAGAACTAGAACAGAAACTAGAACAGAACTAGAACAGAACTAAAACAGAACTAGAACAGAACTAGAACAGAACTAGAACAGAACTAGAACAGAACTAGAACAGAACTAGAACAGAACTAGAACAGAACTAGAACAGAACTAGAACAGAACTAGAACAGAACTAGAACAGAACTAGAACAGAACTAAACAGAACTAGAAACAGAACTAGAACAGAACTAGAACAGAACTAGAACAGAACTAGAACAAACTAGAAACAGAACTAGAACAGAACTAGAACAGAACTAGAACAGAACTAGAACAGAACTAGAACAGAACTAGAACAGAACTAGAACAGAACTAGAACAGAACTGAACAGAACTAGAACAGAACTAGAACAGAACTAGAACAGAACTAGAACAGAACTAGAATAGAACTAGAACAGAACTAGAACAGAACTAGAAGAACTAGAACAGAACTGAACAGAACTAGAACAGAACTAGAACAGAACTAGAACAGAACTAGAACAGAACTAGAACTAGAACTAGAACAGAACTAGAACAGAACTAGAACAGAACTAGAACAGAACAGAACTAGAACATAATTATAACAGAACTAGAACAGAACTAGAACAGATCTATAACAGAACTAGAACAGAACTAGAACAGAAACTAGAAGCAGAACTAGAACAGAACTAGAACAGAACTAGAACAGAACTAGAACAGAACAGAACAGAACTAGAACAGAACAACAGAACTAGAACAGAACTAGAACAGAACTAGAACAGAACTAGAACAGAACTAGAACAGAACTAGAACAGAACTAGAACAGAACTAGAACAGAACTAGAACAGAACTAGAACAGAACTAGAACAGAACTAGAACAGAACTAGAACAGAACTAGAACAGACTAGAACAGAACTAGAACAGAACTAGAACAGAACTAGAACAGAACTAGAACAGAACTAGAACAGAACTAGAACAGAACTAGAACAGAACTAGAACAGAACTAGAACAGAACTAGAACAGAACTAGAACAGAACTAGAACAGAACTAGAACAGAACTAGAAACAGAACTAGAACAGAACTAGAACAGAACTAGAAAACAGAACTAGAACAGAACTAGAACAGAACTAGAACAGAACTAGAACAGAACTAGAACAGAACTAGAACAGAACTAGAACAAACTAACTGAACTGAACTGAACTGAACTAGAACTGAACTAGAAGAACTAGAAACTGAAATAGAACTGAACTAGAACTGAACTTGAAACAGAACTAGAACAAACTAGAACTGAAACTAGAACAGAACTAGAACAGAACTAGAACAGAACTAGAACAGAACTAGAACAGAATAGAACTAGAACAGAACTAGAACAGAACTAGAACAGAACTAGAACAGAACTAGAACAGAACTAGAACAGAACTAGAACAGAACTAGAACAGAACTAGAACAGAACTAGAACAGAACTAGAACAGAACTAGAACAGAACTAGAACAGAACTAGAACAGAACTAGAACAGAACTAGAACAGAACTAGAACAGAACTAGAACAGAACTAGAACAAACTAGAACAGAACTAGAACAGAACTAGAACAGAACTAGAACAGAACTAGAACATAACTAGAACAGAACTAGAACAGAACTAGAACAGAACTAGAACAGAACTAGAACAGAACTAGAACAGAACTAGAAAAGAACTAGAACAGAACTAGAACAGAACTAGAACAAACTAGAACAGAACTAGAACAGAACTAGAACAGAACTAGAACAGAACTAGAACAGAACTAGAACAGAACTAGAACAGAAACTAGAACAGAACTAGAACAGAACTAGAACAGAACTAGAACAGAACTAGAACAGAAACTAGAACAGAACTAGAACAGAACTAGAACAGAACTAGAACAGAACTAGAACAGAACTAGAACAGAACTAGAACAGAACTAGAACAGAACTAGAACAGAACTAGAACAGAACTAGAACAGAACTAGAAACAAACTAGAACAGAACTAGAACAGAACTAGAACAGAACTAGAACAGAACTAGAACAGAACTAGAACAGAACTAGAACAGAACTAGAACAGAACTAGAACAGAACTAGAACAGAACTAGCACAGAACTAGAACAGAACTAGAACAGAACTAGAACAGAAACTAGAACAGAACTAGAACAGACTATAACCTAGAAAGAACTAGACGAACTAGAATAGAAAACTTATAACGAACTAGAACAGAACTAGATAGAACTATAACAGAACTGAACAGAACTAGAACAGAACTAGAACAGAACTAGAACAGAACTAAGACAGAACCGAACTAGAACAGAACTAGAACAGAACTAGAACAGACAGACTAGAACAGAACTAGAACAGAACTAGAACAGAACCGAACTAGAACAGAACTAGAACAATAATCTATAATCAGAACTAGAACAGAACTAGAACAGATCTAAACAGAACTAGAACAGAACTAGAACAGAACTAGAACAGAACTAGAACAGAACTAGAACAGAACTAGAACAGAACTAGAACAGAACTAGAACAGAACTAGAACAGAACTAGAACAGAACTAGAACAGAACTAGAACAGAACTAGAACAGAACTAGAACAGAACTAGAACAGAACTAGAACAGAACTAGAACAGAACTAGAACAGAACAGAAAACTAGAACAGAACTAGAACAGACTAGAACAGAACTAGAACAGAACTAGAACAGAACTAGAACAGAACTAGAACAGAACTAGAACAGAACTAGAACAGAACTAGAACAGAACTAGAACAGAACTAGAACGGAAATAGAACTAAAAAGAAATAAAACTGATTTAGATTTTAACAAGTGTATCATTCCCCTTCAAATAAAGTAAATACAACTAAATCTCTTTATTTCTTCCACCATCTCAAAATAAACAAAAAATAAACCTTAAAACACATACGTTTGTTCGTGAACGAAAGAAAAAATTGTGCTTGTTAGACATAATTTTGTCACGTGCATTTTGGGTTAAAAACATAAATCTTATGAGTGTTTTTTCTTTACAGAATTCTTTATTTTATAACATTTCGCCTTGTTAGCTTTCTCTCTGCCAACATAATTGGAAAAAAGTCAAACTGTCTACGTTTAAAATTAGCAAAAAAAAAACGAGGAAGAAGAAAACGAAACCACGAAGAAAAATAAATATTCACACAAATATGCAAATATAGTTATATTTACTTACTAGTATGTACTTAAATTGAACATACACGTAAACCTTTGTGGTTTGGATTTGTAGGAATAAAAAAAGAAAAAGATACTTACATATGATGCTTAAACGTGCTGGAGGTGAGGCCTGTCGGGCACCACTTGCCACATTTGTGGCAATACAAACATAATCACCAGCATCACTATCCCGACTAACCGAATCGACATGTAAATCAGAACCATTCTGATAAATGCGTGAAGAGTTGCTTAATAAGTGGCCTAGAAAGATAGATGTGATTTTTCTTATTTAATAAAGTAGTTCCAAATTTTACGAAATTCTTCAAACAATTGTTTTGAATTCATTATTAAGACCTTATGACTCTGTAGTGATAAGAATTCTGAAATAAAGCAACATTTTAAACTTATCTCTTCAGGTCTAGGTTATAAAAATGGTTCAAAGAGCTTTTACTTAATTTAAAAAAAAAATCAATATCTTACTCACCATTTAAAGTCCATGAATATATCAGGCCCCTCGTGGGCGTGGCATGACAATTGAAATCAACAAAATCTCCCTCCGCTATAGTTTGACTTTGGGGTAAGGTCAAGAATCTAGAGGAAGTTTCGGCTAAACAAAAGCTGAAACGAAAGAAAACCAAAACAAAATTATAAAAAACAGTCACACATTTAATAAAAAGAAAAAAATTGTTGCAAAGGAGGAACAAATAAAAAAACTTTTTTTTTTCTTGCCTTAACTAAATATGCTGGGCAAATAATTATTTAATGGCAATCACACGTTACGTTACGCTGTATTAAGGTGGGCTGTAATCAACAACAACATCATCATGTGTACAATACAACATCTACACAGCATCTTTAATATCATGGTCATCAACAGCCTTACAATAAAAAAAAATAAGTCGTCCTCCAAAGGAAGAAGTGGTCGGTAAGTATATTTGCAGATGCCGTATGATGTCCATCATATTGATATTGTTTAGTGAAGCTTAATATTGAAATTTTGTGCAGGAGGGCAGGATGAAAAGTGTTCAGAAAGTAGTAAAAGGTTTTAGTTCTGTTCTAGTTCTGTTCTAGTTCTGTTCTAGTTCTGTTCTAGTTCAGTTCTAGTTCAATTCTAGTTCAGTTCTAGTTGTGTTCTAGTTGTGTTCTAGTTCTGCTCTAGTTCTGTTCTAGTTCTGTTCTAGTTCTGTGTTCAGTGTTCAGAAAGTAGTAAAAGGTTTTAGTTCTGTTCTAGTTCTGTTCTAGTTCTGTTCTAGTTCTGTTCTAGTTCAGTTCTAGTTCAATTCTAGTTCAGTTCTAGTTGTGTTCTAGTTGTGTTCTAGTTCTGCTCTAGTTCTGTTCTAGTTCTGTTCTAGTTCTGTTCTAGTTCTGTTATAGTTCTCTTCTAGTTCTGTTCCAGTTCTGTTCTAGTTCTGTTCTAGTTCTGTTCCAGTTCTGTTCTAGTTCTGTTCTAGTTCTGTTCTGTTCTGTTCTGTTCTATTCTAGTTCTGTTCTGTTCTAGTTCTGTTCTATTCTATTCTATTCTATTCTATTCTAGTTCTGTTCTGTTCTGTTCTGTTCTGTTCTAGTTCTGTTCTAGTTCTGTTCTAGTTCTGTTCTAGTTCTGTTCTAGTTCTGTTCTAGTTCTGTTCTAGTTCTGTTCTAGTTCTGTTCTAGTTCTGTTCTAGCTCTGTTCTAGTTCTGTTCTAGTTCTGTTCTAGTTCTGTTCTAGTTCTGTTCTAGTTCTGTTCTAGTTCTGTTCTAGTTCTGTTCTAGTTCTGTTCTAGTTCTGTTCTAGTTCTGTTCTAGTTCTGTTCTAGTTCTGTTCTAGTTCTGTTCTAGTTCTGTTCTATTTCTGTTCTAGTTCTGTTCTAGTTCTGTTCTAGTTCTGTTCTAGTTCTGTTTTAGTTCTGTTCTAGTTCTGTTCTAGTTCTGTTCTAGTTCTGTTCTAGTTCTGTTCTAGTTCTGTTCTAGTTCTCTTCTAGTTCTGTTCTAGTTCTGTTCTAGTTCTGTTCTAGTTCTGTTCTAGTTCTGTTTTAGTAGTTCTATTCTAGTTCTGTTCTAGTTCTGTTCTAGTTCTGTTCTAGTTCTGTTCTGTTCTAGTTCTGTTCTAGTTCTGTTCTAGTTCTGTTCTAGTTCTGTTCTAGTTCTGTTCTAGTTCTGTTCTAGTTCTGTTCTAGTTCTGTTCTAGTTCTGTTCTAGTTCTGTTCTAGTTCTGTTCTAGTTCTGTTCTAGTTCTGTTCTAGTTCTGTTCTAGTTCTGTTCTAGTTCTGTTCTAGTTCTGTTCTAGTTCTGTTCTAGTTCTGTTCTAGTTCTGTTCGTTCTAGTTCTGTTCTAGTTCTGTTCTAGTTCTGTTCTAGTTCTGTTCTATTCTGTCTAGTTCTGTTCTAGTTCTGTTCTAGTTCTGTTCTAGTTCTGTTCTAGTTCTGTTCTAGTTCTGTTCTAGTTCTGTTCTAGTTCTGTTCTAGTTCTGTTCTAGTTCTGTCTAGTTCGTTCTAGTCTGTTCTAGTTCTGTTCTAGTTCTGTTCTAGTTCTGTATAGTTCTGTTCTAGTTCTGTTCTAGTTCTGTTCTAGTTCTGTTCTAGTTCTGTTCTACGTTCTGTTCGTAGTCTCTTTGTTTAGTCTACTGTTCTAGTTCTGTTCTAGTTCTGTTCTAGTTCTGTTCTAGTTCTGTTCTAGTGTCTGTTCTAGTTCTGTTCTCGTTCTGTTCTAGTTCTAGTTCTGTCCTAGTTCTGTTCTAGTTCTGTCTAGTTCTGTTCTAGTTCTGTTCTAGTTTCTGTTCTTGTTTTGTTCTAGTTCTGTTACAGTTCTGTTCTAGTTCTGTTACAGTTCTGTTCCAGTCTTTTAAGGCCACCCTCGTATTTCATATTTTAAACGTACTCGTACATACAAATGTACAATTCTCATGGCCATTGTTAAAACTCCACACATTTAGGCATTTATGGGTACAATTTTTGAACAAACCCTAAATGTACAAAAAAAAGAAAGAATAAAAACTAAAACTTTCCGACTGAAAAACATAAAAATCCAATATGAAAAATGTAATGGTGGAGAAACTCGGAAGAAAGAAGAAGAGCAAATGAAAAAACTACTCTCATACATATTGAACTGTTCATGCATAAAGAATCGATTTAACCATTAACTTCTTATGGTCCTTTGGATGTAGCATATCAACTCAATGACTAACTAACTGGCTGACTGACTAGCAGGGGCTCACGAATTGGCAAAACTAACTCAGCATTTAAGACTCAAACACATTTGGCTACAAATAAGCAGGAAAAAAAAACTCCGGCAGACTCACATGCTTTTAATACAGAACAAAAAATTTTAGACAAACTTTAAGATACATCAAACAAACTACAAGAAAAAAAAACCAAGACAAATATTTCGCAAATAAAAAAAGCAACACAAACAGATGGAGAGAACGACAGACAGTCAGACCAAGCAACCAAACAACTTTTCTGCTGTCAATACGACACACGTACATTTACTTAACTAATGTTGCTTTAGCTTAAGCCAGTTTAGAGTAGTCTGCAGTCGTAGTCTATACTGTGAGACCCACCATATATTTATTCCTACGTCCGACCTCTTTTAAGGAATTCACTAATTCAGCGAAATTCCTTACGTCTTTTTCATCTTCATATTTACATTGTGGTAGTTGTTTAAAGTTGTTGCTGTTGTTTCAGTTCATTCTTTTCTCTGGGTTATGGCAGCAAATAAAAATAAAAAACAGACAGAAAAAAATACTTCTTCGAAAAACCAGTGAATGTGTGAAGACTAAAAGCACATCCAGGAATACATAACTAGGAGTATGTACGAGCCATGAACATTTGTACGTAGGGAGAATATAATAATGATAGGGTTTATTATGCTGACACGTCAAGTTCGACGTCGAAAAAAAATGTTTTTCTTATTTAAAGCGAAGATAGAGCAAAAGAAACAACTAAGAAATGATAAGGAAAGATATGGAACAATTTTGTGAGAAGGTAAAAACGACAGAAGGAAAGCCCTACTAATAGCGGGAAAAGTTAGACTGTAGTCCCTACTATAGCCAGGACATAGAAAGAACTGAATGCTGAATAGAACTAGAACAGAACTAGAACAGAACTAGAACTAGGACAGAACTAGAACAGAACTAGAACAGAACTAGAACAGAACTAGAACAGAACTAGAACAGAACTAGAACAGAACTAGGACAGAACTAGAACAGAACTAGAACAGAACTAGAACAGAACTAGAACAGAACTAGAACAGAACTAGAACAGAACTAGAACAGAACTAGAACAGAACTAGAACAGAACTAGAACAGAACTAGAACAGAACTAGAACATAACTAGACAGAACTAGAACAGAACTAGAACAGAACTAGAACAGAACTAGAACAGAACTAGAACAGAACTAGAACAGAACTAGAACAGAACTAGAACAGAACTAGAACAGAACTAGAACAGAACTAGAACAGAACTAGAACAGAACTAGAACAGAACTAGAACAGAACTAGACAGAACTAGAACAGAACTAGAACAGAACTAGAACAGAACTAGAACAGAACTAGAACAGAACTAGAACAGAACTAGAACAGAACTAGAACAGAACTAGAACAGAACTAGAACAGAACTAGAACAGAACTAGAACAGAACTAGAACAGAACTAGAACAGAACTAGAACAGAACTAGAACAAGCTAGAACAGAACTAGAACAGAACTAGAACAGAACTAGAACAGAACTAGAACAGAACTAGAACAGAACTAGAACAACTAGAACAGAACTAGAACAGAACTAGAACAGAACTAGAACAGAACTAGAACAGAACTAGAACAGAACTAGAACAGAACTAGAACAGAACTAGAACAGAACTAGAACAGAACTAGAACAGAACTAGAACAGAACTAGAACAGAACTAAACAGAACTAGAACACTAGAACAGAACTAGAACAGAACAACTAGAACAGAACTAGAACAGAACTAGAACAGAACTAGAACAGAACTAGAACAGAACTAGAACAGAACTAGAACAGAACTAGAACAGAAACTAGAACAGAACTAGAACAGAACTAGAACAGAACTAGAACAGAACTAGAACAGAACTAGAACAGAACTAGAACAGAACTAGAAACAGAACTAGAACAGAACTAGAACAGAACTAGAACAGACTAGAACAGAACTAGAACAGAACTAGAACAGAACTAGAACAGAACTAGAACAGAACTAGAACAGAACTAGAACAGAACTAGAACAGAACTAGAACAGAACTAGAACAGAACTAAGCTAGCACAGAACTAGAACAGAACTAGAACAGAACTAGAACAGAACTAGAACAAACAGAACATAACAGAACATAACAGAACATAAGAACAGAACAGAACAGAACAGAACAGAACAGAAACTAGAACAGAACTAGAACAGAACTAGAACAGAACTAGAACAGAACTAGAACAGAACTAGAACAGAACTAGAACAGGAACTAGAACAGAACTAGAACAGAACTAGAACAGAACTAGAACAGAACTAGAACAAAACTAGAACAGAACTAGAACAGAACTAGAACAGAACTAGAACAGAACTAGAACAGAACTAGAACAGAACTAGAACAGAACTAGAACAGAACTAGAACAGAACTAGAACAGAACTAGAACAGAACT